ACATGTAATGATTATATCAAATATACATGTCTGTCGCATAAGAATGTGACGAAGGAAAAGAGGTTCGATTGCTTGCTCTCAGGGCGCACGTGAAATACTGGTAGACATCACGGAATATTTTACAGCAATTGAATAAATTCATGATTAAAAATCATTATATCATACCGTATACTTTCTAGTAAGTTACCAACAGGAATCTTTTTCTTTATATTGCATTTTTCCTGTTTGTGAGTCATCTCGTCAACGTATTGTACAAATGTCACGAGTGAATAGCACCGCTCAGATTCCTAATTCAATACAACATTGTCAAACAATGTATCAAATAACATCATACAACCATTTCGTCCCTTTAGGACTCGTCAGAACTGATAGGAATTTGAAATTGTCCGAAATAAACACGGGGAGATAAAACAACCCAGTAATTCAATAAATTTCAAAACTGCTGTTCCATGAAGAATCAGCTGTCTGGCTGTACTTGATCTTGAGAATAAAACAGAAAAAGGACAAGGATCTCGATATCTCGTTCAGATATAAGTATTTAAATTGTCCCAAAGAATCTTTATTACCTGAAGGAATGCACTTCAACAGGTACTCAACGTGTACATTACGTACTTCCTTTCACGTGTCATGTTTTGAAATAGTATAACTCTGTCAAGGCTATGATAACCTTTACTGTTTAAAGGCTATAAATTCTAAGAAAACCCTACATAATTCGATACTGATAAAGTAAACATCTTTGATTACTAACACATTAATCACTTGATCAAACATAGGATAATAGCTATATTTTCTGTGATTGTAAAGAATTTCAGAAGTACATGTACAAATGTGTTATATATCAATATATGATGTAACTCACTTTTACCTACAGCTGGGATCTTTGAGGTAAGATCATCCTTTTCTTATGTAATATTTAAATTTGAAATCTTAAATTACTTGTCTGAATTTCTTTTATAAAATCTAAAAAAAGTATTGACAAGAAAAAAACTTTAAGACATTTTATTTTGAATCAATATTTAAATCATAAGTCTCCTTAATTAAAAAAACTTACACCCATAACAATCAAGACAACAGCATGCAGACATTTTGTTTCCATAAAAAGTCTATCCATATATTTTTTCGATATTTAACTGGCAAACCAGTAACCAGTATTAAAAACTATGAAACATTAAACAATGGGGTGAGTGCATCTCCTAAATAAGTTTTCCTCTGTTACCTCCAAGGTGTCAACTAATTCGGCCATTATCATCACTAACGAGTCCTAAAAGAACGACCATCATATAGAGTATTGAATTATGAATTTTGTCTTGAAAAGTCTGTTTCATCACAATACATTTGAATTCGCGAAATGTTCACGGAGTTTACTCATATTACTGTGAATACGTAAAAATAACACAATTGTGCTAAAGTACATTCATCTGTACATTGTTCGGTGAACCCAGGATAAATTTAAATGAAAGAATAACAATCAAAGAGTCATTATATCCTAAAAAATATGTGCTTTCTGAATGAATTAGTTTATGATTTCTTTCAGCAACATAAATTTTGAAATCCACAATGATTTTTCTTAGAAACTGTTTCGTTATGTCATATTTTACATGAAAGAAAAACGTAGACTTCATAAAACTATGAACAAAAATTGCTTTCGGAATTCCTGAATAATGATTTATAATAAGACACGATTGATATAATTATCAGCAGTATTTTAGCTATGAATGCCAGATAAGAAATTAGAAAGGTTCAATATAAGATATTTCAAGTACTTGCCTCCAAAAGAATCCATCAATGTTTATTGAAGTCATCGGTGTCACATACAGAGCGTCAACATGGGTAGAATTAGAGCTCACGTTCCACAAACCCTGGATACTTCCTTAATATATTTAAATAAGGCAAGTTACATTTGATTGGTAGTTGAACCTTGTTGTTTGGAATGTTAGTTCTTAACGGACTCATTCAAATGAACAAATAACAATGCATAGTGTTATAAGATCTACGTAGGAAAGAATGGTCAACAATGAGCATAGTAAACTTTCATGTTATTAAAATTTTAGAACTTCAGTTTATTTATATAAATATGGTAAGTCTCGATTGTTACCAGAATTACTCACTATATGGATCTACTAACATAGATACGTACATTTATATTGAAGAATGAAAAAGAGTGTTGAAAGGCATTTGTTTAAGCATCAATGTGAGAACTAATATAATTTTAACGATCAACTTAAACATTTTACATTAAAATGTATTTGATGAAATGATACAAAATAAATTCCCACTTTCTACATTACCTACTATAAATCATTTGAAAGTAATGACAAAGTACCTAGTTCTTGATAAACATCAAGGTCAACGTTGTAAAATACGTCAGCAGTTGATCACCACATCAATGTATGAATTTTGCCTTTCCATTCTATTATAGATAATATGTTTTACTAACCGAAATCACTAATCTACTTCATAAGTAGTGAGGTTGTGTATGGGAGTGACGAGATGTCACGTGTATGGCGCTAATCTTTAGTATCTTATATTTTACATACAATTAGCATGGCACTAACAGCAAATGATATACCGACGTGTCAGTGTAATGGAGTACTCCTCAAAAAGTACCAGCCATGTAAATCTTGGCCAGTAAAAGTATATAATGTCATATTTCCAATTATTGGAAAAGCTGATGTCTCTGTCTGTATTTTCATTTTCGATTTTCCTCAATCGCCTGAAATATTTCGACATTTTAGGTCCTTGGCATCATTAACGATTCCATGAAGGACAAACCAGCTCGATGATGCCATTAGATTTATTATGTGGAAACTATTCTGTATATATTTCACTTGCTTGTCTTTTTTACTTCGAAAGATAAAAGAGTAATTTTGTTTGGTTTGCCGAATCAAGTGTGATAGCCTGGTTAAAAAGTGCATATCCGACACCGAGAAACAAGACGATACTAACATGTCAACAAAGCCATTATCCAAATTAAAAATCAATAAAATTAAGGCGAAATAAGAACGAAACAAAGATTTATACGGAGACTCCTGAAACAATGTTAGGAGGATAAGACTAGGTGTTCCGGAGAGTAAACGTCTTTTTGACAGCACCCGCTATGTAAACCTTAGTCAATCAAAGTATGCAATGTCACGTTCTCAAATGAGAACAAGGTATGCAACAACGGAATCAACAGGCAAACTAAAGAGCATTATAGACAAAGAATATTTTTCAATGCTATCACCGTTGAACATCTCCAAACTTTTCATGAACCTGCGTCTTTTAAATCCTTGTGTAATGAGTTGGTCCGTCAGATGATATTTTCTAGCACGAAAATCATGATAGCTGGAACAATCCCTTGAATATCGAATTAAATGTGACATGTAATCACGATGGATTGCTTTCCAGAAGTGGAAAATTCAAATAATCATTCTTAACAAACAGCATGATGGTTTCGTGGTAGCAAACGATTGAGATAAGCGGCAGATGCAAGTTCCAATTCTGGTGGGTATATAAAATGGACGTGGTCAAAAAATTACTTCTGAGTCATTTTTTAAATGTTTTGATAAGATCCTGATGAATTCGGCAGTGTTTGAAAAAAATCTGCCAACGGAGGGAACAGTTTCCAACAGTGTGTTGGAAGATCTTACCACAAAACTAAACGAAACTATTGTCAACCAGAAACTTCATTTTAAAGAAGTCATTCAGTTCAAAAAAGTATTTCTGTTACATTTTGTAAGATTACTATCTCAATAATAAAAAGCTGAAAGTAAAATTTCTATCGCAACAAAGTGTGAACGTGTTTGTATAACCCTATAATTTACGAGGCAAGTTGGTTCAAAACGATTTATAACCGTAAGTACCCGGGTTCCTTTCAGTGCTCCTAAAGATAATTTAAATCAATTAGGTTGTAAGATTTATGATAAACACACAGAAATCCACGCGTGTTGGTATATACACCACCTTTGATACAAATGTAAGAGAAACTCCGGCTTGTGTGTAGGATACATCTTCTGGTATAATCACGTGATCATTTATGGAATGCCTATACAGGGTATATAAATCGATGTAACTGCCTTTAAGACTGGGATGGATATTTCTTGTGCGTTCTTTACAGATACTTACATTGGTAAATGATGAAATGTGATCTACAAATAGGTACGTATTACTTAGAAGTAAAGTAATTAAGGTTTCCTGAGCAGCAAAACAAACTACCAAATCTCTATCTAATACTAGTCCATTGAAAAATAGTGTCTAGTTACGGATTTTTACTTTCTCTAAATTGTTTCCTAGTTTCAATTTTTGAAAAACGCTTACTTTTCTGAAACATCTTGTCTTATTCTCCTTGGTCTTTTAGAAGTGACCGTATAGATCTTTCTTTTGCCATATTTTGCTTTAGTTTGAGTAAATTTGAATTTGGATTATGATTATGTTTACATGGTGGTATTTTCTCGCTGATTTTAGTTCTTTCAATCTTAATGAAATAAAGACAAAACAATAAATCACTTTTTGTCTATTTGTTTTAAAGCAAAGTAAAATAAATAAATGAACGAAATAATTAATCAAACAGGATAAATTTCGATAAAACCTGTAACTTAATTCGTATCATTATTTAGCAAGTTTGTCACTTTATCTAACGACAACGACCTGGAATCATTAAAAATGAAATGTCAAATATCCCGCCTTCATTAAGATAATATGATATTGAAGTTTACACTAAGGTCCATAATAGATGACAATTGATCAAAGTTTGATAGAAAAGACGTAAGAAAATGTTGTAAATGGATATAAAAACATTTTTAGGATTCGATAATTTAGACGAAAGATAAACAATACAAAATATTACCAATAAGTGTAGGAGATATTGCATATATTTACAGTAACATGCATGATTATTTCATCTTATTTTAACGAGCAATTTCTATCAATTTATGTTTTTTTAATTTTTTATTCACAGCTAACATAAGAAATCAGTCCATCTACATATATTTCATCGTTTCGGATCAAAAAGAACAAAAAGGATGCTTGTTTTATTGAGTATCGTGTTGTCTGCACTTGTAGTTGGAGTGAATGGCGATAAAAAAAACAAATATCCAGAATGCTGTCCGTTTGGTATTGACGCATGTAAAACTAATTCCGGTTCTGGTAATGCTAAGGAGAGAGCCAAACTTTTCCCCGGTCTTTTTGTGAATGTGACATTCCTTGAGCTCCACAATAAATCAGTGGCCAATATAACGAATCTCAAAACCTTTCACAACATCGATATTGCTGGCAATAATATGCAAAGAAACACCAAAAGGCGCAAACGGGCAACCGGCTGCCACTGCTGTCAAACGTAAGAACAGAAACAGGATTTCCAATTTGTATCATATTAATTATGAATAGAAGAATATTGATGTCTGTTTAAGAAATGGCTCATTTTATATCTGCAATGCACACTTATGTCTCATTGAAATAAGATATAATCTGTATAATCCGCAAACACGTACTTCGTTAGTCATATCCAAATGTAGATACACGTGTCCTGATTCATATATTATCTAGAATTATTATAGAACTTCCATATCAATTTCGATTACTGTAATAATGTCAGCAGTGACATATCAGTTTCATCCTTATAAAGGGTCTTCGGCGGCCATCAGCCGAAGGGATTATCGACACACATAAATTTACACTACTGTTTTCGATTTTAGTTCAACTTTTTATTTGTTTTATGTTCTATGTATGTTATGAAACCTAAATAATAATTTGCGTCTTGACAAAGGAGTTGATTGCCTCGAAAATCTGACAATTCACTTGTCCGTACAGTCATTATTACTTCGTAGACAATATGTCTATTTGAGTAATAGCCATCTTACGGACATTTTACCAATATCGGACCATACCATCGATATTACTTACTAGATTATACACATCATCATGAAAGGACAAAACAGCCGTATGATGAAGTTTTAGCTAGTATTAGGTATTTACTGAATTTATTATTGTACTTGTTTGTAAACGACATAGAAAGACCGATTTGATAACAGAATCTTAATTCAAATTCACATTCAAAGAAACTATGACAAGACATGAATAAATTATTCTATCCTTAAAAGTACAAGGAGAATGAGACCATATGTTCCGGAAAGGTGAGCGTCGTCTTCTTCATCAATGACATCGGATTTATATATCTTGGTTAAACCAAGTATGTATGTCATGTTCCTAAAAGCACGTGTGCCACACACACTATTTCGGGCCCGAGTGAAAACATCTGACAGTAATTGAAAACTAGCAAAATATTTCAATATATAATATCGATATCTTCTGTTACAACCATGTTAAGAAACTTCTGACTTGTTTAAGATATGTTTTGTGTAGTATGTGTTTTAATGAAATTCAATTCTTTTGGCAGTGAGTTTGTATATATTGCTGCCACGGAAGTTGAATATGAAGGAGAAATACATGATGTTGTTCAGTACGAGGACATCGGCAGCTACCAGTTTACTACACAGGGGATTTGTCAGTATGTACCTTCACGTTATTTTTGTAGGTTTGTCAATGCAATATTTTTTTTCAAATGATGAAAAGAGAGAAAAAAGTGCATTTTTTATTCGCTTGATCTCATGGTTGTTATGTAGATTTTTTATATAAATAAAACGTTTACAAAACACATATGAAAATATATATTCTTTTACAGGAAATAAAAGATGCTTAAAAATCAAATGGGTTTGAAATCCATTCAATTTTCTATTTCCAGGAACGCCGCTTGCAGTCCGAACTATACTTGTCAACTTATGTATAGGCTAGAATGGATCCTGATAAAAATTGACTGTCCGTGGGAACCCGATATGATGTTTGTTCCTGTTAATGTACCGAGCCATTGTGAATGCATATCAAATTAAATGATAGACAATTTTTGCAATTTTTAAAAATGTTGTCTTAATTAAATTATTTCCTGAAAAAGGAACTAAGTGATATTTGTTATCAAATAAAGCATCTTAAAATATAGAATATTTCAGTTAAAGTTTTATTCCTTGTCAAACAGAGAGCTATAATCAAAAGGCTTTGGATATTCATAGCACGTCAATATAACGTAATATAACTAAAGTAATATTTAGTTATTAGCAAATGATAATAGTAATACAGTAAAAATATAGTAAACATCAACATCGATATATTTACATCAGACTTTGTCAGTTTGAGTTACCGACATCACTGTGGCAAACATCCAAAAAGCCATATTTACATAAGACTTTGTCTGTTTGAGTTACCGACATCAATCAAAACTTTGGTAAACATCCACAAAGCTATATTTACATCAGACTTTGTCTGTTTGAGTTACCGACATCAATCAAAACTTTGGTAAACATCCACAAAGCTATATTTACATAAGACTTTGTCTGTTTGAGTTACCGACATCAATCAAAACTTTGGTAAACATCCACAAAGCTATATTTACATCAGACTTTGTCTGTTTGAGTTACCGTCATCACTTTGGTAAATTTGGTAAATACCCACAAAGCTATATCTAAATCAGACTTTGTCTGTTTGAGTTACCGTCATCACTTTGGTAAATTTGGTAAATACCCACAAAGCTATATCTAAATCAGACTTTATCTGTCTGAGTTACCGTCATCACTTTGGTAAACATCCTCAAAGCTATATCTAAATCAGACTTTGTCTGTTTGAGTTACCGACAACACTTTGGTAAATACCCTCAAAGCTATATCTCAATCAGACTTTGTCTGTTTGAGTTACCGACAACACTTTGGTAAATACCCTCTAAGCTATATCTCAATCAGACTTTGTCTGTTTGAGTTACCAATAAAGAGCTAGTATTGTCTACAACTATATATGAACTTTAGTGGAAGATGTTCTACTTCGTACATTCGCATATTCAATCTGAAAGAAACAGGTTAATATCAAGAGGTATACAGTAATTACTTTCTGTAGCAGATATTACAATAGCTACACATAATCACAATTTTACAGTGCTATGATCTTCATAGAGATGGCTATCTGTCACGGTTAACAGCCACAAATGTTTTGGTGATTACCTCATCAGATTTAGTTCATATTCATATCATTAATGTATTCGTAAGTTCTACCTAAACATAATGAGACATTCTTGAATTGGACAAGATAAAGGGAAAACATTTAAACCTAAATATATGAAATATTGAGTCTGTGTGCCAAGGACACGTTTACACACATGTTGAATACTTATATTCATTATCTAAATATAAATCATACACAATAAATGTTAATGATTTAAATAAAGCTTACACTCAAGACTAGTACTAAAGCAACTTAAAGCTATTCAAACTATGTTTTAATTACAAGACTATGCCAACAGTATACAACAGAGAAGGTTCATACCAACTTCCAAATATATCTGAAACACTGATATATATACTAACATACACAAAAACTCAGTTTTCCATACAAATGTACAATATCTCATACAACTGTATAAGGAGTAGGTTGTTGTTGCCTGTACATAGTGTTCAATTCTGACTCTGTCATTCAGCTGACGGAGCATGATTCATGGCTCTTTTGGTAGAGCCAGTCAATAATCACACCAGAGACCTGGGTTATGATTCCTAGTCTGGGCACTCGACAGGAATAGGTGTTTTCCTTGTTCTTTCACACAAATATATGACATATCTTGTACAAATGATTGGCATATCTTGTACAAAGTGTGATACCTCATATAAATGTATGACATATCTTGTTGAAATGTACAAAATTCTGTATAAATGTATGACATGCTGTACAATGAAAAATATATAATACAAATGTACAATACCCCATACCACTGTCTGACACATCCTGTGCAATTCATGATATCCCATATAAATGTATGATTTATCATAAACAAATGTACAATACATATGTAACAAAAACTAATGTTCAAAATTCTCATACGTATTTACAAAATTTCAATACTGTCATACAAAATCTTTATATCAATGCAAACAAATTGTAACATAATGTAAAATTGGTAGAACAATGAATTTGAACAATGATAGGCTTTATTGTATCCAAATACCAAAGGCATGGCTGTTTACAATACACATCAAATAAATATATGATAAAACATAAACATTGTACCAGGATAACAAATATTGTCACATAGTATGCAAGTTATGTTTTTGAAAACATTTAGTGATACCTATCAATAGAAATGGTAGATAATAATTATGGTTTTGTAGGTTCAATATTCAGCAATTTTCGAGGATTGAATAAAAATCAGCAGAATGGATACAATAATATCAATAAAACATAGTCCACTTCATGGCTTTCATTTTAAAAAATCGTTTTTGCTTCAAGCTCTTGGTAAAATTTCATTTTTATTTTCTTTCTTCCTTTTTTTCAATTTTCAATTTGTAAAAATTTGAACCATAAATATAACAGTTTTTACATAACTAGCAGGACTTCTTAAATCTACATTGGTTCTTTTGGACTGTTCGTTAGAATATCTCAAACTTTGATTCTGACATCTCCGCTCAATGGATTCACAACTTATTTGATTCTGGAGAAAATCTAATCAACAATGCTAAATTTCTGATTCTTTACTAAATGGTTATAAGAGAGAGCTCTCAGGAAGCAATTACCTTCTTATCCAAGTGTAAAATTACAAGCAAAGGGCAGTAACTCTTGACATAGGTTCAAGTCTCATTTTAGTTTGCAAAACACAGCCAATCAAGCATTGAAAACAGAGTACTTATCCTGAGTTCAGTCCTGTCGGGTAGCAATGGTGGAAAACTAGTAAATGTTGTACATTTTCATCATCATATTCAAAATTCAGATCATGTGCTCATTACACAGGACAAGTTTATTTTCAGATAATAGAATATGTCACACCAAACGATGAAATATGCAAACATGTACATTCCTACCGTCTTTACCACAAACCACATGGTCTTACACTTCAACTCACTCAAGACAAACCATCAGTATTACTGAATATTTTGTTTGAATCTATGTTCCTAGAACATACACTCACATATCAAAACATCCACATGTTGACATTTTGTGCAAGTTTACAGCGTTCACAAAGTAAATAAAAATTTGCATATGCAATGATCAAATATGGTGACTTACATTCATTCATTTTCCAAAGTTTCAGAATGTTTTGCAGACCAAACATATCTTCACCAGTCATGTTAGATAATTTAGTACACGCATATCCATTATTCAATTTCAGACATATTCAGTCTCATTTTCCCAACAGATATTTACAACTTTACTTGTATCTGTCAATGAGAATGCTTTTAAAAGTTATTGTAACAAACAGATGCACCAAAATTCTTCAAATTTGTCGGCATCCCAAATCAAAGACATAAAAGAAATTATTTCTAATGTAACTTGATTAACAACATTACACTGCAGTATAAATGCACTCCAACATATATATGTATCTGTTACACCTTACTTGTTTAGGTATATATATATAGCTTCATTTCAAAATTTATTCTATTAAGTTACAAACAGCTTGACACCACTTGTGTATATTCTATACAATCTGACACAAACTTTTCGACTTGCATTATTTTTTCATTAAGCAATAACAATTATTGGCTATACTAACATCATTTATTATTGATGGAAATAAACAATATTTTAGATATTGATTTTTAATCATTTTTAATGCATTAAATTTGCATTTGATTTAGTGATAAAACACTGGGCAGGTAAATTTTTTATGACCAACAATATTCCATATCTATAACATGATCTGTTGACTTGTGAAATACTCCAACATGCTACAGTAACTTATAATCTTACATGAAATATATCAAACAGCAAAATAGATGTAAGTATTTGTCATTACACATTCGTATATTTGATGAAAAATTGTGCGGACTTACAAAATTCCACAAATCTCTAGTAATCCATCTTATTCTAGTGAAAAAACTACTCCTTCACTCTTTAGCCTAATATCTGCCTAAATATAAGCAAACAACACTGGAGCTAAGCCCTGAGTATCATAGATACTGAACAAAGAATAGGAAACACTTTACTAGTACATACCTTTTCCTGTGATTTTAAATCCTGACACATTTTAGTAATTTTTAAGCCTTAATTCGTACTTGATAAGTGTTGTCTTAATTATTTTGAACCTATTATCTTTTTCTTTATTATCAAAATCCTTCACATCAATACATGCTCTTTAAACAACATGACTTTTTATTAGCTTGTGACTTAAATGCAAAATTCACAGAAATTCTACCAATGTGGGACACTGTAGAATATCCTAAGAATTAGATTCAATCTTTTTCACTGACAAATATCATAACAAAGATACCTCCTGATATTTCAAAATCTATGAAGTTTATTCACTATCACTGTCACTTTCGTCGAATCCTGTCCAGTCAATTTCCTGAAGCTTGCCTTGCCTCATTGCATGCTCTATAAGTCCTAGGTGACAGAACACATACTGGTCCGGCATCTGGATGCTGAAGGCCCTCTGTGACCTGATCCTACGTACAGTTTCCTGGACATCTACGCGTCCTGTGTCCTCTAACTTTCTGAGACAAATATCTATTGTCATGAATGTACCTGTAACACAGATAGAGACAATTCAAATGAACTGACATCACCAATACATCAATGATTCAAAGATTTACAATTTGTTTGAATCCAGATGTTCTCTTTTTTTACTATTAAATATGGCAATTAATTTCTTAATATGTACAACCATTAAACTTTTACATATATGTCTTACATGCTCACACCTCACTTCCTTTCTCATGTCTCGATATTTACATATCACCAAGATCAGGGTTAATCCAGTAAAATATGTACTTGACCCAAGGGCTCCAAAACAAATCTATTTTATTCATGATTCTGTTTTCTGCCTTTTACTTCTAAGCCATAAATCAATTTTATGGGATCT